ACAAATAAAGACGCATTTAAATAGTGAAATCATTATTTAAATAGGGTTAAAAAGGTTTTATAATAATGCAGACATTTGTTATATTTTCTGTTGTTAATTAAAAGTAGCGATTTCAGTCGGGACTTTAACTCTAGATCAAAAATTGATTCTATTAATCCCCGCTCGTTTGTTTTGAGGTGGTAAAATACTATTCATTTCCTGAAAGCACGCATCCAATCCATACTGCATGAAACCCGGAAGTTAGTATCCATACTGAAATGTTCAGTATACTGAGGTGGACCCAAAAAATGCATACTGAAGGAGCACGAAAGTTCAGTATACTGAAAGTACGTACAGCCTACTGAACTGTGGCTATTCAGAAACGGCCTCGGAAGTCGGAAATTCCGGAAATGCTGTTTTCCATTTATCTCGGACCTCGTACCTTCCGACTTCCAAATGCAGAACTCGGAACTTGGAAGTGAGAAGTCGAAAATTCAGAGTTCCAACTTCTCAGGTATCTCGGAACACGGAAGTCGGAAAATCCGAGTTCTCGGAAGTGTTTATTTACCTCAGTTGTCCGAAATTCCGAGTTCCGAGGTTATGCCGCGTTTATTTACCTCGCAACTCGGAATTTATGACTTCTGAGGTTATGCCGCTTTCCATTTACCTCGGAACTCAGAAGTCGGAAATTCAGAGTTCATGAGTAAAAGTGCGGCATAACCACGAAACTCGGAATTTCCATCTTCTAAGCTGCTATTAAACTCAACAGTTACAGCTTATGCTGCGTTCCAGTTTTTCCAACTTTTTGCTCAATTATCACTTTAAACAGTAACTTTTCACCGATCTTTTTCCTAGCATCAACACTTTTTGTGCTGTTCTCGACTTTCCGAACTGAAATCAAGTGAACACACTGAAGTCGGAACGACTTCCCAAATTGGAAACTTCAATCACCCAAGCAGCACATGAATGCAGCATTACCTAACAAAACAAAGGTACTCCTGGACACGTCCATGTTGCTTTTCTGACTCGCAACTAGAACACAGTTAACTCGGGTGTGACGTCGACTTCCGAGGCGCTAAACTCCGCCGTGCGCGTTACAGAGAGCAGAGGACAATTGTAGAGACATGTAGAGACAGAAATGACATGCCGTCGTGTAAATAAGATAAATAGCATTAGGCTATTTAGTTTGTTTAATAAAAGGACAAGGTATAGACATGTTCTATAGGAAAGGTATCCTTATGACTTCTGTTGTGATCTGCCGCTATATAGAAAATTCATTAGATAACTGCGATTCGTTTTTCAGAGTATCGATGTGAACCTTGACACCTTTGAATCAATTTTTAACTGCCTCACGATTAATCTTTACATGTCTATTGAATTGTGTTCTTAATTGTAGCTCACCTCCCTTAGGTCGCTGTGATTTGAATTGCTTTTCTTTAAGACTTTCACAGCTACAGTCTCTTCAGTGTCACGTTTGACACATTTGCTCACGTGTCCATAGTGGCCCTCTCCAAGAACCTTCACTATCTTGTAGTTCTTTGTCATTATTTTTGGTTGGTTTGCCATTTCGGAAATGAAACCTAGAGAAAAAGTGAATATGGTATCTCCGTTATCTCAACACATTATCTTGAAAAATAGTCCAAAGAGCAAGATAGAATTTATTTAAAAACGTCGGCGGATATTTGGCAGATAATTACAACTGTTAATAAGGCTTCATCGTCAGAAATCTAGATATGAAATTGTCAAAGGAGCATCTGAAACCCTCTTTAAAGGTCTGTTTTTGAAAGTCCAATACATAATACCTCACATACATACTCTCACAGGGGCAGATGTGACTCAGTAGAGTCGCGTCTCTCAATCGGAGGGTTCGGTCCCCAGCTCCTACAGCAACATGTCCGATGTGTACTTGGGCAAGACGCTTAACCCCAAATTGCTCCCGCTGCTTTGGCGCCGGTATATGAATGCGTATGAATGGTATTAGTTACTTCTGATGTTCTCTTTCCTTACAACCTCTGCCATCAGTGTGTGAATGTGTAGGTGTGACCTGCAGTGTAAAAGCACTTTGAGTAATCAGAAGACTAGAAAAGCGCTATATAAACTCAAATCCATTTACCATTTACCACACAGTCTACACTTTGCTTCTTCTTTCCAACTAAAACATCCATCCAAGTTAGCTTGAACATTTTCCTCCCTCAAATACACATCTAAGTATATTTAAAGGCCCGGTCCAAATGATCATGCTTAAGTTTCCTTCAGTGTTTGTGCGAATAAAGAAATCCACTTAATTCCCTGCCACCAAAAGCTGCTTATATACAGTTAGTACCTTCTTAAAATTAGCCAGGCAAACTATTCCCAGCCTTGATATGATATTAATTTACATTGTAGATAGAGCTCTGTCAACCAGAAAAAATGAATCAATTGTAAGAAGCGGTTACAAGCAGTCACCTGCTGTTCCTTCTCTTCTGACCTTTGGCTAATTGAATACCTCAGTTAAAATATACATTATGATACTAAGGTTGTGTATTTCACTGGGTCTCCACTCCTTACTTCCCCTTTTTGTAAGTGTAAGATTTACTGACTTGACCTCAGAAACTTTTCTTTTATATAGAAGAGTAAACAAACAATGGTTTACCTGTTTCAGCTACAGAAGGTCTCATGTAGGTCAACTGTTGTTCAATCCAGTTGTGTGAATTTTTTAATCAGTTTTGTTTACCAGTTGTGCTTAAATGTTGTTTTCTGTCTGGTAGCTGAGAGTAGAAAGACCGGTGTCTCCATGTCATGGTGTAGATTTCAATGTCGAACTTCATTATGATGTCGTTTATGTTCTAGAACTCTGTGTATTCCACCCAATGTACATGATGCAATTACCAAGATGTAATAATTACAGTGTTTTAATTACACTGTACACTTGATGTGTTTCACATTTATGACTTATCATTCACACAGAAGAGCTAACTTCTAGTTAGTTCTTTTTGTACACTTTTAATAAATAATGTACTATTTGTGTCTCTATTAAGGTTAGCAACATTACTTGAGCAATATAGGCAGTGTGCAGGAGTTCCTTTGCAATTGTTGGTTATGAAAAAAGACAACCAGTTACCCAATATTGGGGGCCTACAGAAGAACTTGTATTTTTTTTGTTGCTGTGGCATTAATATTGTTTGATTTTTACTCACATGGTATCTAAGTTTCAAATTCAGGTATGGTGACAACCCTACCTTTAACATGGCTCCATGCATGCCCTTCACTCTATTCAGATATGTTTTACCTACTAATCTCACTTTACCTACAAAATATGATAATAATGCTGTTGGAAAAACAGTCAAAATACTTTTAACTGACTCAATCAATTCAAGGTTACAATACTACAATGAAAAAAAGATAATTATAACTTAAAGACTTGCATTCAAAGTGACTAACAGTGTTTAGTTTAAAAGCAGATATAGATACATTTACTGAAAGTATCAAACATATTAAACAACTCATTACTGGGGTTCCAGATAGCCTAGTGGTTATGTCACACGGCCAATGTACAGAGGCAGTAAGCCTCATTGCTGTGACCGTGGGTTCGAGTCCAACCACGTGCACTTTGCTCAATGTCATCTCCAATTCTCTCCTTCCAACATTTCCTCTGTCTCTCCAGCTGTCCGATCTAATGGAGGCAAAGAAGGTCCCAAAACTTATCAGCTGGAATGGTTGGGAAACCCTGTGGGTTGTCAAAATTGAATTTAGCCTATAAATGAATTGATCAGAAAACATTTTGAGTGTCCTGCAAATACACGCTTGAATCCTCTTAAAACATTAGGAAAATATCTTGAGCACACGAATTAGGGTAAAGCACTTACTGTAGTTGTCAACCGAATTTGAGGCTATGGTTTGAGGTAACGTCGCCCTCTGGTGGTGTATATATAATGAACAACCAAACCTCAATAACATAAATGCGCAGATTAAGAGTTCCTCTCTGAATGTCTTTATCGGCCTCTTCATGCTGACAAAATTTCCTCAAAGATGGGGGTACTTGATACATTTAGCTATTAACCCTCAGATCCCGAAGCAGGGCCTACAAATATCTGAGCACGACAAATTGTGTTGAGATGGAGACTCGTAATAGTTCATATGGATGTTGTCATTATTTATATGGTTTAAAAAGAAAATCGATACAAACATCCCACGAAACCCTAACCGATATTTAGTTGACTAATTTAGAGGTTCCCTGGAGGACCTTTTTATAAATAGGCTACTTTTGAGGCTTTTTTTTCCTTATAAATTATCAGTCAGTGACATAGTAAGAATCATGTTATGATAAAAACGATTTTCTTCCACCTAATCCCCTACGATTCCAAGCATGTCAAACCCTTGACCACCTTTTTTTAATTATGGCCCATAATAATCAAGATAAACGTGACAACACTGCTTATTGTACTTCACTACACGTTATCAACTCTCAATTATTTTCGTGTCTGGTTTTATTTTGACATGTACCCGGAAGTGTTACTGATGTCACTGCGAATGGCTCGACATCTTTCTGAAAACATCCCCCCCCCCCGACCTTTCAGGTGGCTGTACAGGGTTCACATAGAAAAAAATACATTTCTTTCATGTATTGAATCTGAGCTGAAGGCTGGATCACAAGAGCTGCTGACGCTGCAAAAGCAGTGGAAAGGGCAGATTTAGCAGCCGATTAATATGAACTTAATGTATACAGCCAAAGGATTGTCAATCAACTTGTTACTGACTGATGTCGCAGAAAGGATCAACTTCTCCTGACAGGCTCTTATTTTCATGAACAGGACATTAGGGGAACCTGATACACTGCCCAAAATGAATTGCCCAGAAGAATTACGCCATTTCATCAGAGAAAGCACTACAAACATATGTGTGTGTGTGTGTCAGCTGTCACAAGGCCCATGTGATATGCAGGAGGAGGGTACAGCCTGCTATTGACCCAAATATTTCAGCCTTTGATGCCTTAAAAAGAAGAGCATTTCATAAAACAGAACTGCCAGGTAGTGGACACCTTCCATAATGAAAAACTAAACTCTTTAATGGAGCATAGCAAGAAGTTATTTTCAAATCACATATGTTCAAATAAAAAGACTCACCATGTCAGTAGAAAGTGCTGCTGTAAAATAAATGCTATGTTTGAGTGATCTCATACAAACGCATGATTTTTTTTTCTTTTTTTCATTTTGCTGTCATGATCTGCAAAACTGAGAGCAGTTGTCACATTTTGTTCTCCAGAAAGTTCAAATTAGATTCATACAGTACATTACAGTATACAGGCCCAGCATGATGCAGCCTCTTAGCAATACAAAAAAAAATAATAACAAACATACTTGTGCTCACTCAAACACAAATCCAACATAAAACATCCCAGTCCATTACAAACTGAGGCCTCATGGTGTTAGTATTCATCCAAGTTATCAGCTTTGGGGATGGAAAGACCTCGGTCCTTCAGCACCTGCATCTTCACTTTCTCCGTCTCCTGTTTGGCTTGCTGCTGCAACCGTTGCTCCTCCAGAATTTCTTCAATGGAAACCTGCTGCAGGAGTGTGTCACAGGGCTTATCCACATCCTACAGAGACAAGAACAGCATTTTATCTGTCACTGGCTTTTATAATAACTCAGATATGATGCATGCTAATAGTCAGTTAAGACAAACTTAAATGTGCAGCCTAAGGTAGTGGTTCTCAACTGGTGGGTCGGGACCCAAAAGTGGGTCGAGAAAAAGTGAGTGAAAAAAGAAAAGTGTCTAGAAAGAAATCTATGACGCGTTTTTAAAACATGTTGGTTGTGTTCCTTCTCATCGTTCTGTCGCATGTTTCATACCATCGCTGCACTATTTTTAATTTGATAAATATGATTGGTTGAAAAAAAATATCAGAAATTTGGGTCATGATTTTCATGAAGGAGTTGGTGGTGGGTCCTTAGGCTAGACCAGTTTAGAACCACTGGCCTAAGCGGCAGGTATGAGCTTTTTTTAATTGATTTGCTGCAACTGCTTAATTGTTGATAGACTTTAAAATGTTATCTGCGTATGACACTGTACTGGCATTAGCAGCCACTCAACATCTTGACCAGTGGTTCGAGACCCAAAAGTGGGTCAAAGGAAAATGTCCAGTGGGTCGCGAGTGTTTGCCCTGCAAAAAGATTGTGTCACAAAAGTCTATGAGGTGCATTTTAAACACGTTTGTTTTTATTCGTCTCTTTGTTGTGTCAGATGTTTTGCACCATCCAAGGTCCAAACCGCACAACTTCTCATTAAATAAATCTGATTAGTTGAGAAAAATATCAGGAATTTGGGTCGTCATTTCTCATTAAGGAGTTGGTGGTGGGTCCTGAGGATAGACCAGTTGAGAACCACTGATCTAGACAGTGTGTTTGCGAAGGGCCTTTCTACTCAGACAATACGCAAATATTTTCATGTTGATACTGACTTGCCATTGTTGGACAAGTGAACCACAAATGTATCACAAAAGTCTCACTAGATCGCTACGTTTTATGAAGACTGAATCTACACCACATCAGCACTTAGAAAAGAAACTAACTGAAGATAAAATAATACTGACACAGTGTTGTAATTAGGCAGCTACATAAGCAGTTAGAATCAATTAACATCAGTGGATTAATGCCATGCGCGAATTGAAATAAATGATGGTATTAACCTCTGCTAAGTTGTCTACTTCTCCATGCTTCAATAATTACATTTTAAAATACAACCCGCCCCATGCATCGCCTGCAGCTGCAGAGGTTGCACACGTGTGGAGTAAGATGTAGTCTAATCTGTCCTGGATAATGTTTGCACTGTGCACACGTATACAAGGTAGAATATCATCATTGTACAAAATCCACACATTATAGATGCAACTAGATCATTTTTTTGTTGCAGCTACACTCATTATTCCAGGAGGTTCCTGACAAACCTGTAAACCTTTTAAAATAGATATTAAAATAAAGCTCTAAATCATAACATCTGTAGTTTTAAGAAAATGATTTAAACCCATCATGAAGATAAATTGTAACCGACACTATCTTACCAATTGATTTTTTTTTCAACTACATGCACTCCCTTCCTGTTGCTTAATCTGAATATGCCTCACCACCTCAGCCACTTTTAACATGACAATAAACGAGGACACTCCTACTTACTATCTCTCCGAGGAGCACCACATTCTCCCCTCGCACAATGAATATCCCTCTGGGAATGTCACCAAATTTTTTCCCCACGTGGATGCGTTCAACAGTTTGATGAAACACTAAATTGGCTGGAGAAAAAAAAAAAAAACAGGTTGAGTCCAGCGTCATGTAGGAGGCCTACAACACTAAGTATGGACGAAATGAACACATTACACGGTTGGATAGTATATAGACTTGAATTGAGCCTTAACATAATCTACTGAAGTGATGAAAGCTTGTGCGTTGCATCTTACAGAGTAAAAACAATGAGATAATAAAATTTGTTTTACCAAATTGATCAATGCTTCTGAGGTAACCGATCAATGTTCTGCCATCTCGGAGCAGCACCAGGTGTTTCTCTGCAGGACAAAGCCAACACAAACACTTTCAATGACAGTATTAATCATTTAGCGACATGATGTGTCAGACACCATGCCGCAGCTTGAAAAGGATTCTTCACTAAACCGTCTCTCTCGGTCAAACATCACTTTCATACGTACTGTCGATGTCGTCAATCAGGCTTGCCGTCCCTGGTACGTAGTTCATCTTGGGTTGCTGTTTATTTGCTTCGTTTATTTAAAAGTAGCGTCACGCCATGAATGTTTGAAAATTTGTTTCTCATCAGAAGAGCACAGGAAGCGTCTTTATACACGCCAGGGATAAACTTCCTGTGGATGTTTAACTCTTAAGGTGCCACAATCCAAATTAATTTATTTTCATTTTTAGTTTAGCAAATGCGGCACTGAGAATATATCTTAAATTGATGTAAGTTCTAATATGTGTTGTTCCTCAAAATATAAAATATACGTTACGATTAAAATTATATTCTATGTTTATGACATTTGTCTGATTGGCCAAAAGGGTCTACTGACGCGTATGCGACACCAAAGATCGCAGATATAAAGAGCAGTGAACGGCTCTTAAAGCAGCGCCGTTTTTTGATGGTCTTGCTTTAAAAATCCTTAATTTATTATTTAACTTCATTCGAAAATCACCAATACCCGTACGCTCTCAGTTGGTATTGTTATTTCCCCCTCAGCTCCATGCAGTGAAAGAAAAATGACCGCAGAAAGCAGTTTTCCTCTAACTGTTGAATGACATTTGGTGCCTCAAAATAGTGTCAGAGTGAGACTCTTATAATATAACGCCTGCTCCTTATTAAAGAGACAGTACAAGTTTTTTTTCTGGGCGCTATGTCATTCAAACAGTTCCTGATTCCTATCTGGCGATCTCCACTACTGCAGAAAAAAAACCACATCTACATTGTTGTCAACGATTTGGACCAGCTGACGGCTCAGATAGGTGTCATTAGGCTTGTTAAAGGCGTGTTGTGTTGAAATGGTGGACAACAAGGCGGTCGCCGGGGAACGTGTTTAGCTGATGCATCATCATTAAATGCAGTCAAATCTCAAACCCGGCTGGCCCTCGTCGTGCAACTCGGAAAATATAAACGGGGACTTGGCTAACACCATGGTGAGTGTGAGGACACGGCTCAGGGGGGTTTCCCACTGTATTTAAAAATGTGTTTAATTACGGAAAAAAGGGGAGCCGAGCTTTTGTTTCCTTGCGTAACATCAGATATCTGTCTGTGCTAGCAACACGGCTAACGGAGCTAGCTTCTATTATGTAATAGTTGCCGCTCCACTGCTGGTTCAATTGTTCCCCATTGTTGTCACGTTTATCTTGACGTGACAACACTGCTTATTGTACTTCACTACACGTTATATTATTATCAACACATGATATTTTCTCTTAAATTCAGGTGCCTGTTTCCGGTTAGCGACATAGTTTTATATCTGCTTTGTGCAAAACATGTTGAGTGAACACTGCGAGTCAGTTCAGCTGTTTACTTAGTTACTGTGAAGTCTGGGGTAGGCAATGGTGTTGAAACATGAGGTTTTTTAGTTTTCTCTGTGAATCTGAAGGACAGCTCTGGTTTCCCCCTGGTACACCAGAGACAGTTTTATTCATTTAATAACTCTTCTGTGTGATATTCTTTGTTCACAGGACGCCCCTCAGTATACAGGCTACCCTTCACATTACTGGTATCCCCAGTCCCATTCAACAGGACACTATGCAAATACTTACCCGTCAGGATCAGAAGTCCAGCCACAGTACAGTCCACAGGTACAGATCATGATGCAACAATCTAACCCTTTAAATCCCAGTGTGTTCAGTGGAACTAATTCTAACCATAAGTCTCTTAAGCACTCTCACCTTTCCCACACATATTATAACTGTCTGCTGCTTTGCTAGAACAGTTACATCACTGCAATATGTGTACACACAGACGCATGGCGTTTTTTTTTTTATTATTCCTATCTCCTATCGTGCTTTCCCTTTAGGTAATGCCTGGAGGTTATCCAAATGGCCATGGTGTCTACAGCCCAGCGCAGAGTCAGTATTCAACAAGTGGTTTCCACCCGTCCAACCCTTTCTACTGTGCTGACCCCCAGAGACCAGCACCAGGCCCTTATCCTAACCAAGGCTGTCCAGCCGAGCAGAGCAGTGGGCCGTCTGGGCAGCCACACTCTCAACACCAACATCATCATTATCCTGGCCCACACTGTCAGGGGGTGAGTTCATCAAAACACACTTCTACGCATTTCAGAAATTAAGTTTCATTTTTATTTTTTTGAAGATTTATTTTTGGGCTTTAATGGAGAGATAGGACAGTGGATAGAGTCGGAAATCAGGGGGAGAGAGTGGGGAATGACATGCGGGAAAGAAGCCACAGGTGGGATGTGAACCCGGGCTGCCCGCTTGAGACGACAGCCTCCATACATGGGGCACGCGCACTAACCACTGCGCCACCAGCACCCCAAGTTTCATTTTTTTTGTACTGACTGTGACGTAGTAAAGACTATTTCGGTTGAAAATGAAAATTTCAGGAATGTTTTAGAAATAATACATTTATCTCTCCCTCTAATACCCTCAGGGTCCTGGATATCCAACTGGACCCTACCCTCACTACAGTGAAGGTGGGCACGCAATGCCTCCAAACCCACCCTACCCAACCGGTCAGCCTCTCCACACAAGCCCCCAGAGTGATGGATGGACGCACTCAGGTGCATATGCTCCCCCCTCACAGCAGCAGTGGCAGCCAGGCCAGCAGCCTCCACAGAACCACTATGGAAGCTCTGTACGCCCAGCCCACCCACCTGCTTGGCCTGGGACTGGGAGTGGGGCTCCACCACCTTATCAACCCAAGGTAGGAATCTGCAGCTGTCAATGTTGATTTCATTATCCAGAAGAGGACTGGGGTTGGTATAAGACAATATCAAACACATATCATCTTCAGGAGATTTTAGAATTAGAATTTTGGATTGCTCGTATTGTGAGTGTACAATTGTAAATTCAGCCCCATTGATACAGAAATTATGAGACAGATACTTTTACTTTTTACTGTTGATGTTAGAAGAAGAAAACTAGCATTACAGTGGCTGAAATGAAAAATATACAGTGTGTATATATATATATTTTTTCAAACTAAGTTGTACTTCACTCTGCGCCTTACTCTTCTAATTCTAGTGAAAGAAGCATGCCTTTATTTAATAAAACGTTTACTAATTCGGGTGCAAACCAAAATAAATGTGATGCCCTGCCCCTTGCAACCAAGAGGAGCTCCCTGAAGGTCATTTATGGACATTCAGTTTCATGGCTACCAAAAGCCACCTTTGGAGAAAATCAAATATTAACTTGATTATTAAGTTTAGCTGTTATTTAGATTCAATAAGTAAATACAATATAGTGTGCTAATGTGGAACTGAGATTGAGGGTTTTTTTAAATATCTCAAACAAAATCTTTTGTTTCGTTTTACTTTAGGACCAACAGCACCAGCGTCCCCCACTAGTGGGACCTAAACCCAGACCACCTCTTTCATCAAATCAACCCAACGGAAAGCCTGCTGAAATCAGTTCACCTCCACAAATGTACAACAAAACTGGAAGAGGGGAGCCTAATCCTTCCCAAGGTGAGCCTCCTCCCTCTGCCCCAGTCCAAGCTCCAGCTCCAGGCCCAGCTGGACCTCAGCCTCTGAGCCAGAACCCTGGCCTAGCAAAGGTCCAACAGGTGATGTCCAGAATGCTGCTGCTTCAGGAAGATGTGGACGAGTTTGTTGGGAAAAAGTCAGATAAGAGTTATCGCTGTCTGGAGGAACTGCTGACCAAAGAGCTGCTGGTGCTGGACTCTGTGGAGACTCAGGGACAGGATAACGTTCGGCAAGCCCGGAAGGATGCTGTGCAGAGGATCCAGGCCATCCTGGACCAGCTGGAGAAGAAAGCTTTCTAAACTGGACTTATTTATTGGTTTGTGGGTCACTAAGTTTCTGTTTTCTTCTTCCAGACCTTTCATGGACACAATGAGGGTCTTGTCTTGTTTCTCAAAGCGTTCTCTTTGGGTTTTTTCCATCAACATACAAAACACCTAAACAAAGAACCTAAGAACATAAACAAGGAATTACTGGTACCTGGAACATTTTAAAGCCTAACTATGCTGGTATAAATGATGTGCTAGTGTGAGAAGTGCAGTCTGATGGTTGGTCATATCATACACGTCTGACAGCCTCAGTGAGTGACTGTGCTGGCCACACAACCTGACACTTCAGCTCTGCTCATCGTTTTATGTCATGCCTTTTCCAGCATAATGCAGGGCAGAGTCTCTGGAAGACGGATTTATTTAGTGCCACATAACAACCAGTAGTGGTCTCAAAAGATCCAGGTCATCTTCATGCTATCCCTCGGGATTGTAGGTCGGTTTTAGTCTGACCCTACATCCAACTCATGCACTTCATTAGCCGTCTACTAACACATTTCAGCCCATTTGCATGAACAACATATAGGCCCATAAGTCACCAGCCCTCCTCAGCAGGAAGAAGTGCAACACCTTTCCTTTTCACATGTGCTTCAGCCCCGCATGCACCGTAATGTCAGACAAGCACTCGGTACAGTCGTGACATTTCCGAGCTCGTAATTGGGCTTAGATCGTAGCAGATTAGTAAAAAACCCCTAAAGATTGCTGTCCCATTTATTCTATCTTTTGGATGAAACTGCCTCCTAAGTGCAGACCTAGAATCAGACCTACATATGAATGCTGTGTATTTCTCTATAGGAACTACTGTTATTACAGGTATATAGGATAAAGGTTTAAATTAAATGAAAAGCTGGTTAATTTAGTTGTTTATATCCCTTTTTGAACACTTAGAATATATCTAAGATAAAGAGAGAGAATCATATTTTTCAGAATTAAGTGTTCAATCAGTTGCTGTAAATGAAGGAAAAAAAATGTTCTTTAGTGTTTTCATGTATGTATGTAGGTCACAGCACGTGGAAGAATTGTTTGATTTGTTTCTGTTTTCTCTAGCACTATGTCATTGTTTCTTTAAATCCATGTTTGCATCACAATCCATTTTCTTGTGTAGAGCAAGTCTTTTTTTTTTCAATCAGTTTTGATGTGTTGATTAAGAAAAAAAGAGTGCCATATTTCAGGGGATGGTTTTATATTATCAGAAGAAAAAAATAAAATGAAGATCACAAGCTTTGCATGAAAAATCCCTCATCTGTCACGTGTTCATTTCCTTGTGTAGTTTGTTTCTGTTGAGACGGAGCACAACTGTACAGTTTAACATGTTCTGCATGTTTCCAACTCAAGATGGGAATCTTTGCTTGATTAATATTCAAATGATCAAACATGAGAAAAAAGAAAAATAATAATTAAATGTCAGTATATTTTTGAACATGGGATCAAATGAATTTTTATTTTTTATTTTTCTCTCACTGTATTCATCTTATACAGATACAACCCTTTAGCAGAAAAGAAACATTGTATGGGTAGTGGATGCTGATAAACATTCATTTCATTTTGACAGAAGTGTAGAAATAACTTCTGTTATAAAATCTTAAGAATGACAAATTGCTTGTTTTTTTTTCTGTCGTGGAAGCTTCTGTACGGGCCAACACTTCCTTATATTAGCCAGCTGGCATGCAGATCTTTAAATAGACATCTATTTTGATGCAAAAGCATAACACAGGCCACTGAGGGCTTGAGGCCATGCTTGAGGCACACAGGCTAGATTTAATTTGGGGGTCATATGGCCTGACAACACTCAGGACACACTGTGGGGAGTGAATCTGAGGTGAAGAAGCCTGAGACTGTTGCTCATTTTACCAAGTTCAACTCAGGGGTCTAGGTCAGCTAACTAGAAACACATTGTGTTTTTTTTACCTAATTCATCTGTGAGGTTCAATTTTTAGTTCTATCTAATCTAACGTCAAACTGAAGCTATCTTTTTTTTAAGCCTTTCCACAGGCTTCTTTTAATGGACTTTATTTGCCTCATAATTTAGGGAAAACTACTGTCAACGGATTTCTCCCTGAACTCGAGGAGGGAAACAATGTCTTATACATCCAAACTTCCTGCGTCCTGGAACGATAAACCGCCCCCTCGCAAAGTGGAAATTGACTTGAGCTCACCTGGTTTAGCTGTGTTTGAGTTGGAACGTCTCTTGTTTACTGGTAAAGCCATCATCAGCCATGCAGATGAAGTGTGGCCAAGGCTTTACATTGGTGACCAGTAAGTGACTAAATTCTTTTAATTGATAAAACCCCACAAATATAATGACTGGAATGATGCATGGCCTTGTAACTCTTTGCTTTGTAAGATATTCTTTCCAAATACTCAGGACTGAGAAAAGGACTGAACTCCATTTACAAGTGTTTCTAAAGTGAAACGTGTGGAAGAGGAACAGATCATAAATCAGAGTTAAATGACAAATAGGTAACTTAAGACCCTGGAAGTTGCATTCCACATTAGGAACTTGCGTAAACTTCAGCTCTGCCATATGAGAGTTTCTACTGAGGAAGGTCATAAAAATACAGATCTCATACAGTTTTCTTGAATATCAGTTCACCTCTGTGAACTATGCTTTATACCCAAGGCTTAAATGTAAACCCCAATCTTAATACTAAGTGAATATTCTATAAAGCCAAGAGAACAATGAAAGAATAATAAGGACAATGAAAAGTAGCCTTTTGTCTCATATTTTTGTAATGCCATGAGTGTTGACATAGGTTATAACATCAATAGGACCTTTGAGTAAATGTCTCTGGATCAGATGTTATAATGTTGATTAACATATAACAGCTTATGGGCTTGTAGAGTTTTGTTATAGAAGCTATGCCACACTTATGGTTATTGAACATTTTCTGGATATCAGCATGGCTGTAAGTGTGATACTGCTTAAGGATGAGATTGTATTAGTGAACATAGAGTGTTGTGCTTTTCAGGCACAGTGCAGAGAACCGGGCTGATCTATCCTTGCATCGAGTCACTCACATCCTGAATGCAGCTCACAGTAAACGCAATGGACAACCAGGTATCTATGGAGGAATGAAGATCACCTACATGGGCATTGAGGCCCATGACTCCTGTAACTTTGACCTGAGCGTCAACTTCCAGGCAGCAGCAGACTTCATCCACAGGGCTCTGAGCAGTGGAGGTGAGAGGATGGGAAGAGAGGAACTTAAAGCCATTTAAACTTGATGCATATTTAAGTTGTAAATGTTTCCTTTATTCTCAGGCAAAGTGTTGGTGCATTGTCATGTGGGAGTGAGTCGCTCTGCCACCCTTGTCCTGGCTTACCTGATGCTAAAGCAGAACCTGACCCTGGTGGAGGCTATTTGTGCTGTGAAAGATAACCGGGGTGTAATCCCTAATCGAGGCTTCCTCCGACAGCTCATCACACTTGACGGCCAGCTCTTTGGCTCGCACTGAACCCTGGTAGCATTACTGAAGTTTTCATGGGTCCAGACCAGAGCATATGGAAATCTATGATAAAGCAAGCTAGTACATAATGTTAGACAGATGATATAAGGACATTGTGGGAAAAAAATATTTGAATAGGTCCAATTCAGTGGCTGGTTTGGATGTGTTTTTATTTTAAAGTGCAGTGGGGAGAGACGGTCACGGGGAGCTGTAGGCTAAACAAAAAATCTGATCTGATTCTCTGAAAGCAACGCGGGGCAATACACCAAAACACTGAAGAAATACATTTTCAGAGGGGGGCATCTTCAAATTAGCATCTCGATGACTATACAGTCGTCTGCATGGAAATCACATTGTCTCAGTAGTTAACAAATGTTCAAAAGGAAGATAACTACAGGGGATCATTGGAGCAACTTCACAACTTTGATTAGCACCTAACTTAGAAGGAAATCCAATACAGCCCCATTCACAGGTTCTGCTTTGAAATGACAGGTGATAAATCAAACTTAAAGTATTACAAATGAATCAAGAGACAATCACGTCATAGCTTTAAACACGTTAGACAAATAAAGAATTACATTCTGTTTCTACTATCCTGATAAGGTTGCATAGTTCTTTTTTTCATTTTTCAGACTTTGGCACAATCAACGTCTCCTTTCCTGGGTCACGTGTTAATTGACATGAAACCTAAAATATTTATATTTTGTCAGTTTGCACACATCAAACTAATGAACCTTTTACATCAAAAATTCATGCAATGCAATGTTTGTCTTTAAGATTAATTTTCTCCTTTCAACAATTAAAATCTTATTTCTAAAAAAAATGATGTGACTGTAAGGATTACTTTACGCATGTTTGTGTTTTATTTCCTGTAACATCCAGATGTTATAGCTTTATTTCAGACTGCAATAGATGTGCACATTTTCCAACAGAGAAAATGTTGTCTTTGTACGAGATGAATAAGCTTATTTTAAAACTACTTTTACCCAAATTAAAAAAAAATTTAAGTTTGTTGAAACCAAGTATTTCTCTCTTGTTTAAAAAGTATCTCGGGACATTCTCTGTTCTGTTAGACGATTGTTTACTTGCTTTAAGTTATATTTCCTCAATTTAATAGTTTCCTTGTTTTTGAGAGCTGACTCTGCAGTGTTTGTTTATTCTGTTGGGATTTTCATTTCATTTGTTAAAAATGGTTAGGCTTCATTCTGATGCCATGGTTTGGACTTTGATCATTACATAGAACAAACACAGAGGAAGAGCAAACAAGGGGTTGAGTTAGAGGACAAACAAAGACAAAGTTCAGTAGCACTACCGCTGATCAGGCTCACAGTATATAAAGGGAATCTGTCTCCCTCTGCCTCTGCTTCACTACCTGCATGTGATGAGCGACTGAAGGCTGCAACTGGAATGTGAGTTTGTACTAAGATTTTGAGAGCTTTCATTTAATGTTTAAATTCAGACTAATCTGCCAAAATTAAGAAATTACAACCTTTTTGATTAAACTGCAAACTGGAAATTTGAAATCTTTAGCAAACGGGGAAGTTTGAAAAGTAAATATAGGCCGGGGTTAACAACGGACTTACTCCTGTTGTTTTATGTTTCAAGCTTCAGTGAATGTTTTGTTTTAATTTGAGACTTTAGATGATTCAGCCAATGTTGATTTTCTGTAGGCCTATAACTTTAAATAATAGGGACAAACATAAACCCATCACGTAAAAAAATACATTATATTATATTATTAATATTAATATGCAACTTTTCACAAGTATTTTAAGACTTGTAAAAAAAAATCACCAGATAAGATGATAATTTAAACTGTCAAAGATTAAACGTCTGTAATTTAATATAAATAATATAAACATCGTTGTCTGGAAAGATTCATGTGTAATATTCCCTTTTTCTGTTGATGCCTGACCCACATTGTCCTATTAGAAGAAAAGCCCTTCTGTTTGGATGTTTATATGAAAACGTAAATCTGGGTCATTCATGTGTTTTTAGATCACCCCTTGACATTCACAAAAAAAAGCTTTGATGTATTTACTGTTGATTGCTATCAAATGTTGAGAAGTTTACCTCAGAAATACTCAGACAGTTCAGACCTATTGATTTGCCATTGTTTTTCCTAACTAGTTTGGGTGGGACATAATGTACTTTTATCAACTTTGATAGACTCATCCAAACAGCATGCAACATCACTTTCTGATGTCTTTAAACCCTACATGATATAAACTCCTCTAATTGACAATTTAAATATAGTTTGAAGAGCAGAGACGGAAAGAAGACACACTGGAAGATGGATGTGCGTTAGTCTGAACTCTTCATTGTGACGAATAAGGGAGAGTCCATCATGCAAAGTAGATGCTGATTAAGAAGATCAGTTTTAGAGGATTTAAAATGAACATATTTGATGTATCTTTTAAACAAATCTCTAGGTGAGTATTTGCACAAGGTAGAGTTACAAAACCACTGACCAATACTGTACTTTTGAACTTTTGTCTTAGACCACAATGATGCGTGCAGCCCTGGTTATCTGGATCCTATCAGCAGTGAGCTGTGTGGGAAGAGGCCATCACCACGAAGGTCATGAAGCCACAGTGCAGGACACTGCACTTGAAAACAACGTCTCACTGGTGATTTCAGAAAACAAAGACTTTGCCTTCCGTCTGTACAAGCAGTTAGCGGCTCTTCCTGATAATGAAGGCAAGAATATCTTCTTCTCCCCAGCTAGTGTGTCTCTTGCCTTGGCTGCCTTGTCCGTAGGAGCCAAGGGGCGGACCCATGAGCAGCTTTTCAAGGGTCTGGGTTACAACAACTCCCTCCTGACGCAGGCAGATGTAAATCAGGCTTTTAAGATTCTCCTTGATAAGGCAAACAACACACTAAGTGAAGACGTCAGTGAAGGGACCGCTGTATTCATGGACGGCCGCTTCAAGCCTGAACCCGAGTTCCTGGAGACCTTGAGGCAGTCCTACTTTGCAGATGGGTTTACTGTTGACTTCACCAAAACCAAAGACAGTGCTGACACCATCAACAAGTATGTCGAGGACAAGACCAACGGAAAGATTGACAAGCTGGTTGAAGACATGGATCCCAACACAGTCATGTACCTCATCAGCTATATTTACTACAAAGGTAAAAGAATGAAAGAGAGGAGATAAGTCTTGTTGCCTGCTGGCTGATCTTGTGTTTACACGTCTCGGTTTAATGTATCAATCACAAAGTGTATTTAATTTATTTAATACACTTTGTATAACTTAACTAATGAATAACTTATTTCTTATCATCAAACAGGAAAGTGGGCGATGCCGTTCAAACCTCATCGTACCAGAGAGGAAGAGTTCACAGTGGATGAGAATACAAAGGTTCATTGTTGCTGCACTTCTACTGAAATGATTTAAGCTCCAGTGAATCATCTTGCACCCTCCATGCAGTTTTTTCTCTTATTTTATGTTTAACTTGTAATTGTCCAGGTTCCAGTCCAGATGATGAATATGGAGAAGCTTCTGGATACCTACTATGACCAGGCAATCAACACATCAGTGCTCCACCTTCCCTTCAACAACTCATACTCCATGCTGCTGATGTTGCCTGATGATATGGCAACACTAGAGAACGCCATTTGCCCAGGCCATGTCACTAAATGGCTCAAATGGATGCGGGACAGGTGGGTTGGATCAAAATATATCCTGACATTGTTGGTTTCTAATAAGGATGGTTCTGAGCTGTACAGTTCCCAGCTTTGGCCTTTCACTGTAGTTATTACAATCGGAGTAATCACTGTATGTTTGCATTTTTCCCAATGCTTTAAGGATGTACGACATCTATATTCCAAAGTTCTCCATCAAGTCCTCCTACTCACTGAAAGATGTGTTGAGTGAAATGGGAATGAGTGACATGTTTGGAGATCTTGCAGATCTGAGTGGCATCTCAGAGGGACAAAAACTGGCAGTCTCAGAGGTGAGGACAGAGAGTGTACAAAATTAACTTCACAGACATCTTATTCCCTATATTCCAACCAGTTTTTTTCTCACTCTTCCTCCATTGAAATGTAGGTTGTGCACCAAGCCACCCTGGATGTTGATGAGGCAGGAGCCACAGCTGCAGCAGCCACAGGCGTCGGCATCACACTTATGTCCTTCCGCCATGTCCCTGTCTTGAGGTTTAATCGACCGTTTATGGTGGTCATCATTGAACGCAGTACAGAAAACATCCTTTTCATGGGAAAGATTAATAACCCAAACATCTGATGGAATAAAAACCTTATTGTAGATGCTGCAACATAAAAAATAAACCACTCAGAGAAGCTTGTGTCTTGTGGTGTCTTCCTTTATTGCAGTTTCTGGCAAACAGTTGGAATATTTATGAGAGTTTGTTTTTATTTTATTTTTTGAAGAGATTATATGTCATCAACAGGCATTACTATAACTGTCAGGTATAAGATTTCAACAAACATATTCAGGGATATTTAACAGTTCTTAATCAACTTTCCAAGCTTAAATTGGATTCCAATATTTGTTCGAAGAAGCATTTTTGCAATCCACAGATGTGAAGATGTTAAATCAACATAGCCAAGAATAACTTAGGATATATATAATATGCCTGTGATGTTGTCTAATAAATGTGAGGATTTTCTGGTTTAATAACTTGCTATACACAAATAAGGGAAAAATGCCATCACAGTCCAAATTCAAGATTTTTATTTGTCACATGCTCATACAGATGTGCAGTGAAATGTAAAGACTTTTCCGCAAGGCCATGCAATAACACTCAAATTACTAATACACATATATACAGTAAAATAGAATGTAATGTAAAATTTAAAAAAAGAAATATTTGAATATACAAAATATAGAATAATGTAAACAGTGTAAAGTGTCAGTGGTAAAGTGTCCAGGGTGTCACCCAGAAATCACCAGCTTATCAGCATTAGTTTATTATCAATAACTTTTCAAAATCATGCCCAACATATTCAACTCTTTATGTTTTATATATATTTATATATAAATCTTTATCTTTAATAAGAATATGGCTTTTCTCCAAAATATTTTAAACCCTCCCCGCACCCTTAAAGACAATGAAACTGAATGTGTGTTGCTGTTTTTGAAATTGTTTCCTTTATAATAAAGTGTCCAGCACAGTTCAGGTAAATAGTGTCTGTGAAATATTTGTCCTGTTATACGTATGTGTTATACCCATAGACATGCTGCGCTCTGAGAAACTACATGCATTCTTATAATCCATCAGTAGGTGGCAGCGCTCTGCCTTGTGGAGTCTGGTCTGCTGGAAATAATAAGTCTCGCGAAGAAGAAGTTTGACGCATTCTGATTGGGTGGCTGTATATTTGTTTCAGACATGGCCGAAACAACAGGAGAGGCAGCGAAAGGGGGTCCATATTTTCACAAAGAGAGAATAAAATGTAGCCCCGAAGAAGAGGCCAAGCTAGAAAGACAACATTTCTGGAGGATAATCGATGCATTTAGATTTTACAGGTACAATTATTATGTTTAAAAGGAAAAAAAAAACGACCAGATTGTGTGGACGATGTTGTTATCAGGCATTGGGTTTGGAGGGAAACCCGTGTACTGAGACAGCCAACCTTTATTTAAGTGTTAGTTTTTTTATTCCAATTCCTCTGTCAGCTTGTATTCAACACGCTTTCGGTGGCCTTTCTTTGCTAACTATTAGTTTAGAGCTCCACACATTTCACGTTTTATCACCTACTCCATGAGCCACCTTTCTCCCACTGACAGGCTCATAACCTTAGAGAGGCATACAGTGACGTAACCATTTCACTTAGAAGATAATACATTGACTAAATAATACTGAACTGCACATGAAATTGTTAGACCTACAGCTGGCTCCTTCAATGATTCATTTATTCACCTTTAGAGACCTGACATGAAAAGGCTTGTGAACCCTTGCTCATACTTGTGTCTTGTCTTGTCTTGTCAGGGTCCATGTAGAGGAGCAGGTCAAACGTGCTGAGCGTCAGTTTCTGAGTCTACCTAAGCGCCACCAGAATATGCTGCCAAATGTTATGTCTAACCTGGCCCGGATCAGCAAGTGTGCGGACCACAACCAGGAGGTGCTGCAAGCCATCATTCACAATAGCCTCCACATGTTTGAGAACATTGAGTATGGTGAGAGGGTAAGATTTGACCTAACGGTACTCTACATTTTCAGTACACACGTTGCATTCATTTTAGTTTAATCATGTTATGCATTTAAGTTATTTAGATTCTGTCATTATTTCAATTCAAGGAGGATCCACGTAAGGCACGCCCATCCACAACGTTTGACATGGACAAGCTTAAGTCAACGATAAAGCAGTTTGTCAGGGACTGGAGCGACGTGGGCCGGGCTGAGAGGGACTCTTGCTACCAGCCTATCATCCAAGAGATCCAAAGACTTTTCCCAAATGACCAATAGTAGGAAACGTATACTCTTTTACACGCGCTACCACTAAAAATCCTGCTTGCATGCAAAGAAAACTAAGGACACTCAGACATAACGATATCTGTATACTTGATACATCAAACACCTTATCCATGTGGTATCATAACACATTTCAATAGTTTTGATGATGTGACTTACTCCCTGTTTTCTATGTGATATGTGCATTTTGTACATTTTATTATGTCAGTGATGTGTCTAAGGTGAGCGTGCTGGTGCCGGGTGCAGGGCTCGGCCGTCTAGCATGGGAGATCGCTCGGCTGGGTTACACCTGCCAGGGCAACGAATGGAGCTTCTTCATGCTCTTCTCTTCAAACTTCGTTCTCAATAGGTACAGCACAAAGTGACATTGTACACCAAATGGCTATTACCCTCTGACAAATACATAAATGCAATCATATATACTGGTGAAACTTGATATAAATCACACATAATTCTTTGTCTTAAGTCTGTAAGCATGTGTCAGTGATCACAAAATCAAAAGCAATTTTTGGCTGTTGCAGTACAACTATGACCTCATACACTGTAGAATACCGCTTCAACCCATCCATAGCTGTCCTCACACATTTGGACTTGTCCATCCAGGTGTGAAAACTTGAACTCTCTGACCCTGTACCCCTGGATCCACCAGTTCAGCAACAACAAGAAATCCACCGACCAAACAAGACCAATCACATTCCCTGATATCAACCCTCAGAGCTTACCGCTAACCTCAGACTTCTCCATGGTAGCAGGTGACTTTGTGGAAGTCTACAGTGATCCAGGTAAGTTAAAGACCTTGTGTGTTTCGTGTTCACTGCCGTTTTCATACTTGCAGAAATCTCCTGAAAAATTCAGTATATTTCACGGAGGAGCTGTGTGTGTGAACGCAAACAGCCAATTTTTTTTTAGCTCTGAATTCACACCGAGTTTCTCTGGCCAGACCCCTAGTATTTTTTCTGCAGCAAGTCAGAGTGGGCTGATGTGAGAACGCAGCAGGATATTCTCCGGAGAATTCAGCTTGAGCCAATAGGAGGGAGAGTGACGTACAGGGATACACAGGGATATACAGGGACTGCTGCACGGTGCATAGAGTGTCTGCACGCGATCACTACAATCTGTGTGCACGTAATCAAACGGCTGCATTATGTTTTCTGTTCGTCATTATGTTGCTCTCCGCTCTTTTGTGGATGTTGTAATTCCATTTGACTACACAGCATTGATATAAAGGCAAATATTCTCATTATAGCGTCGTGTAGTGGACCCTGTTGCTTCGGCCGCTACTTCCGTGTTGTTTTTTTTACGTCACGTCTTACCTCAGGAAATCCCCCGACCCCCACTCCACTCTGACAGGGATAGTCCCCCGCTGTGAGGAGCATCTGTGAACAGCCAGATCGGGAGAATTTCCGGAGCAGTCCTCCTGTAATTATCTAGATATTATCCAGAGTGCATATGTGAAAACGGTGCGGTGTTTAAATTTGATTTACAGCAGTGGACACAAAAACACAACAGATAAACAGACATAGGACAGTGGAACACAACCTGATGTAATACAATCAAGAAATATAAAAAATGTAAAAAAAAAAAAATCTGAAGAATGATGTGAAATGGATTACATTAACCTTTCAGGCTTGTGGAAAAAAGTAGCTCCAGTGTACTTGAACCATATGTTGTGGCAATATTGTTTGAAATACAGATGCCAGCATAAATATTTAAATAACTTGAAGCAGTTCTGTGTGACTGACAACAGATGACGTTAAAAATGACTGAATTGATTCAGTCAATTAGATTCTCATTAGATAAAAAACAAATAAACAGTCTCGCTAACATTATTTTTAGTAAAAGAAAGATGATAATAAATATTATTTGTTTTTGCTATTCTCAGCGTTTTACAAATGGGTTAAATCCCAATGTAAATGAGTACCAACTAAAGCATTGTGAGAATGTAGTCCTAGCAACCTTATGTAAACATAAGTCCTTTAAGAAATGTCATCTTGTAATTAAAGGAAGTAACATTTTCCACTTTCCCTGCCATACTTTAAATATCCCTCAGGAAGTTCTGTAAAACAACTAGTTTTTCCTATAGGCCTGCAGTTTTTAAACATATCCTCACAACATGAATCACCTACTGAAAAGTGTATATTTTTTATCCGTCAGAGTCCTGGGACTGTGTGGCTACCTGCTTCTTTATTGACACAGCTCATAATGTCATCGAGTATGTGGAGACGATCTGGAAGATTCTTAAACCTGGGGGAGTGTGGATCAACCTGGGTGAGTCAGCTATTGCAAAAAAAGTGTATATGTATTGGTTTTTATAAAAAATGTAGGATCACACAAAAACCTCTCCCCAAGTTTTGTTTTTTAAAGTGGTGTGGAAGTGGAACTGGGGAACCCCCCTGGAGCCAGACCTGGGGGGCTTTAAGGTGAGTGTCTAGTGGCCAGGCCTACCTCCATGGGTCCCAGTCAGACACTACCCGAAACAATGATGTAGAGCTGCTGCCATGGAGGCCCACCAACCACAGGGAGAGGAATGTGGAGTTGGGTGCATGTTAAGCCGGTTGGCAGGTGTAGACGGGGGCCTGGGCATGCAGAATGGTTCTTGGGACGTGGAACGCCACCCCTCAGTTGGGCAGATATAGTTGGGCTCACCTCAATGCATAAGAGCCGTTCTGGAACCAAACTCATGGAGAGGGGCTGGACTCTATGCTTTTTCGGAGTTGCCCAGGGTGAGAGGTGCCGGGCGGGTGTGGGGATACTCAGATGCCTCATGCTGAGCGCCGCTGTGTTGGGAGTTTTCTCCGGTGAATAAGAGGGTCACCTCCCTGCGACTTCAGGTCGATATGTATGATATGTAGCAAACAGCAGTTTGTGGATTCTGGATAGGGTTCCTTCTGTGGACTCTATACTTCTTTTGGGGGACTTCAGCGCTCATGTGGATGATGGAGACACCTGGAGGGGGATGATTGGGAGGAACAGCCTGCCCGATCTGAACCCGAGTAGGGCTTTGTTATTGGCCTTCTATGCTAGTCATGGATTGGCATAACAAACACCATGTTCCAGTTTAGGAATGTTCGAAAGTGTACTTAGTACCAGAATACCACAGTCCAAAGATTGATGATCAACTTCTTAGTTGTTTCATCAGATTTGTGGCATTCATGTCTTCGGCACTCGGGTGAAGAGAGGAGCAGAGCTGCCAACTGCTCAACACCTGGTTATAAATTGGATCACAGGGCGGGTAGGCTGCCAGACAGACTTGGTACCTAGATGTGTAACCAGGTGAACTGAGAGTATCTGGCAGAGGCCCCTGTTCGTGAGGTCTTCAACTCCCATCTCCGGATGAATTTCTCTTTCATCCCAGGTGAGGTCTGGGACATTGAGTGATCCATGTTCAAAGCCTCTAATGTGGAAGCCGCTGCTAGGAGTTCCGGACAGAAGACCATCGGTGCATGTCGGATTTGTATCAACAGTAGTGTTTGTTTTAAAATGCTTTAGTTTCAAATTCCTGATTCAACATTACAAAAGTGTTATTTTTAGATAAACTCTCTTTGTTATTACAAAGTTAAAATAGTCCATGTTTCTTCAGGTCCTCTGCTGTATCATTTTGAGAATATGGCCAATGAGCTCTCAGTTGAACTCAGCTATGAAGATATCAGGACAGCGATTGTTAACTTTGGCTTCCAATTTGAGGTAAGACACAGACTTTGTTATATGTTCATGGCTTAACATCACAATTCTTTAAAAAGTATTGTTCCAGAAGTAAAACAGTATTTATACATTTCTCCTGCAGATGGAGAAAGAGTCTGTTCAGACCACGTACACAGAGAACAACCACTCTATGTTGAGATACGTTTATGACTGCGTCTTCTTTGTGGCAAGAAAACCTGCAGACCTGTACTTTAACGGCCAAGAAGAAGAAGACGAAGAAGAAGACGAAGAAGAAGACGACGACCAGCTTCAGAGTTTTCCATCGGCGGCTAAGTCACCTCGGAGAGAAGGTACCGACAGCCTGACGTGACGGAAGGTCCTCTGATACAAATCTTTAACATGGGGAACCATTCATTAAGCAAAGAAAAGACAGAAAAAATGAAACAGAGAAATGACTCAGAGGAAGAAAAATCATTGGACAAAAGTTTTCATTTTGGTCTTTTTCATTTTTATGGCGCACCTCATGACGAAATGAACCCAACAACACAGACTCTGTTTCTTTGTGGGACAGGTTAGATTTACAATAATCATACCATGTTCTACAGAACCCCTGAATACACCTTCAACTCTATATCTCTTGATACCTGAGTTTGAGAGGTGTTTTTCACGTGTTTTATGTGACAGCTATAAGCAATGAAAAGAGGATTTCTTTTTAACTGCGAGCCTGCCTGCCAGACCGCCTCAGCCCTTACTATTTCTCCACTCCATTGACTGAAACTGAGGCTGTGTGTGTGTTTGTGTGTGAGTGTATGATAGGAGAGCATGATGTTAACATTTGCTATTGAAATCATATTTATTTTATTCAATTATTCTACCGATAACTGCCTACGTATTTACATCGATCAGTCATCAGTTTTTACTGAAATATAATCATTCATCTTCCAACTTTCCAGGATTTCATTGTTTTAAATTTGAGTATGACTTTCATTCACTTTCTGGTTTCTTATCACACTTTGGAATAAAGCCAAACATTTAAAGCATATATTGATCTGTGATATCAACTATTTTAAGTTTGTTATTCTTTGAAGACTAGCTTTCGTAAACAGCTTAGAGACTGATTTAAGTGCTTTCATTTGTTTTTGCATTTTAACAAGTAATGAAAACTTGTTTGGTGCAAACTGCTTCAGGATAATAAAAAAAAAACAGCTTGGTTTATTCTCATCTATAATGGATTCTTGATCAGTTGTATAAAAAAAAGGAAGCACATGGCACATTCGTTATGTAAGTAAAGGAGATCCTAACGTCTAACTATTATCTTTATAAATTCAAACATGATTCATGGTGAAAGATATGGAGAGAAACCAGGGTGAGATGAACAACCTTTTTTAAATAAGACATCCATTTCATTATAAGAAGGTTTACCATGGTACTCTACCATAGTGGTACTATAGTACATGTACCAAGAAATGACTAAGTACCATGGTATTTTTAACAGTACCATAGTACATGTACTAGACTACATAAATACCAGGGTACTTGTACTATAGTAAACACAGATCCTAAGGTAAAAGTACCATAGAAATATGTGAAGTATTATGGTACTATGTACCACGGTATACCATAATATGTGAGGTACTATGGTATATGTGAGGTACCATGGTAAACTTTCTTATAGGAATCTTTGGGTGATCAATGTTATTCCAACCCACAATCAATCAATCGAACAACCAATTAGTTATAAATGTGTCCTTGTTTAGCCCACCACAATAAACAAAATGAATATAGACTGTATCTGTGACTGGTGTTTCGTTTGTCTGAATTTAGAAAGGTAGAACATAATAAATTGTAAGACAAGTTAACGATAAAATAGAAAAACACATCACAACATCAATACGATTAAATAATCTATTAAAATAAAAGTAATGCACATAAAAAAATTCTCAAACCACAGCCAGGCGTCTTTTATTTTAAAAACAATGCTCTGTAGTCTTTGCTAGTCTCTGGATGTCACTCGTAGATGCTGAACCACTACTGAACCACTACTGAACCAGTACTGAACCACTACTGAACCACTGCTGAACGTAATCGTCACAGGAAGTGTTGTTTCCATGGGCTGGGCTAGGCGGCGGCGGTCTCCTATGATTGGTTACCGAGACTGCCTGCAATAACTTTACTACCGGTGCACGCATTTTCAAGACCTACGCATGCATTATAGCTAGTCTCACTGAAGTACTATTTATCTCATAAGATTTTTGTGTTATTGCTTTCGACCAGAGCACTCTAAGAGCTGAAATTCATGGCGAAGAGACGTGCGGAAGACACACTGCTGCACGACGCTGCACCGAAGAGATGTTACCGCTCTTTGTGCAGTGTTGACATGCAGCCTGGAGGCATGGCTCCCTCCGGGGGGGTGAGCCCGCCGTCCCTGCTCGCTTTGCTGGGTAACCGCTGCAGAAAGAGGCCGCACTACTTCGAGGAGCCGGAGAAACAAGAGGAAGAATCAGCTCTCAGTTTGAAGCCCACAAAGTGCGACATTAGGAAGCATGGGGCTCAGGTTTTGAGTAAGGTGCAGACTTCTGGAGGTTCCCAGGAGCGTCACAACGCCAGCACACCTACGAGCTCCAAAAAACGAACTCGAGAAGACTGTACGGGTTCAGAGACTGCCCTTCCTAAAAGTAATAATGAAGTAAGTCATGTAGAAACCGGCCATTTTTTTTTTAAAACCCTGTTCAGGCATTAGGTGCAAAAAGCGAGTTTGGTTTATGGCAGAAAATGTCCACTAGATGGCACCATATACCCGTCATGTCGCTCTGTATTTGCTGCTACTTGTCATTTTAAATTGAACAACTTCGACACTAAGTGATTGGCTTAAATAAAAATAAGTGGACCTCCATTCTTTGTAATATATATATATATATATATATATATATATATATATTAGATGAGTATCATATTTGGTTGAATGTAAGACTAAGTAAAATAAACTATGAAAACATGTTTGTAAAACAGGAAATTAAACTGCCCATCTGTGTTTAAACTGAGGTTGTAATACAATAAGAGGACAATAGTTCATATGAACTAGTTCAATCAATCAATCAATTACATTTTTATTTGTACAGTGTCAACTCATAACAAGTGTTATCTTGAGACACTTACAAAAAGCAGGTAAAATACCTTACTCTTTGTCTGTTATCATTACAAAAGAGCAGGTAAAAGACCTTACTCATGGTTATGTTACAAAAAGCAGGTAAAAGACCTTACTTATTGCTAGATTACAGACCCGGCCTATCCATCATGAGCACTTTAGCAAAGCAGCAAAAGTTACAGTGGTAAGAAAAAACTGCCTTTATTAAAAGGCAGAAATCTTCGGCTGGATCCCCGACTCATGACGAAACAGCCTTCAATGGCCTAGACTGCGCCGAGCTTGGAAGGGGATAGGGGAGAGATGGGATAAGTTGTCGCCTTTGTAGAGCCCTTTCTTTTTCAAATGGTATTTTTATAATCTTGCCGTACCGTGTGTTCATGTTTAGCAAATGCTGTATTTTTTGTGTCCCCCCCCCAATACTATGTTATCACGGTCCTTAGTCAAGTAAATAAAACAACAAGGAAATAAATGAGTAATTAAACTGTTTTACCTTTCAGGCTGATGCGGACACCGATGCTGAAGACTGCACCTACAACTCCTTCCAGTACTGGAGGGTCCCCTTACCTGAACTTGATCTTTCACTGCTAGAAGATAATAATGACCATACTCAAACAAAAAACAAGTCAAAAGAAAAATATTCATCTTCTGACACCATGGAGGCTTGAAGGAGTTGGGTGCATTGAGTCTGTACTACTCTGCCCTGACATCAGTAGGCACAATGTGATGCTTTCAGCAGATAGACACGTCAGAAAATCATTAAGGTTGCTTCAATTGCTTCCAGGTGAGATGCATCAATCTGATGTTGCCATGATAGGGTGATGTAGACTGTAGAAAGTCAGCCTCTTAAGATCTTAATAAGGTAGGTGTGGCAACACTGAGATCTGCACAGCAACAACACTGTTCTTACAGTAGGGACACAGCAAGCGGGGACAACCTTTGAAGGCTGGTCTATCCCTCCCCCTTTGTTTCCCTTTCCAGTAAAAAAAAAATAGTGAAAACCGATTTCTGTCAAGTATTTCAGACAACATTGTCCACAAAAGTGACTGATAATTTATGTTTTGCTCTTTTGTGGACACAGTTATCTGAATACTTTAGTTTGTATTTTATGAAGAAGAAATCCAACAAGGTTAAAAAATTCCATAAACTAATATCTTTCAGTGTGCTGTTTGGTAACTCGTTCCAAAAAGGTTTTTTACAAGTTTCAGATGTGGGGAAATACATATTTTGGAATTGAAGACATCTTATTAAACTATGTTGTAATAGCACATGTTTTTTCTTTGTGTTACTGATACACCTGTCTAATGGTTACAGCTGGTCACCACAGCGACTTGTTTTATTGTAAATGGGTCAGTTTTTCTGCCCTTTGATTTTTTTTTTATGTCAAAGTTATTGATTTACTTTTTAGCATTGTCAATAGCAGTGCCATTTAATAAATAGAGACTAATTTGTTGAAATGCGTCCTTGAATTGAAATATTGTGTCGAGATGTTTCAACATTCAAAGAAATACAATTGTTGTCATATTTCAGAATAAAAGCAGAGCAGGGGATACAAAATATAAATATGTTTTTAGAAAAAACGGTATCCATAAACTGTTTTTTTATAGAGCAAACATTTTTAGGACACTATAACGACCATCATTTTGTCTGAGTGTGTGTGGTTAAAAAAAAGAGAAAGAAGGGATGCATTAGGAGAGACCGACAAGTTTTTATTCTAAATCTAAACGAGTAAACATTGAGCATCAGGATGGAGGACACAGCAGTATGTTGACAGTTCAGGAGGAGGAACAGTCCTCCTGAGTGGGAGTGAAGGAGGAGGTCATGAACTCCTCAAGGCTGCTTGAGAAGGCTCCCTGCCCTTTGGACCGGCGGCTGATAAAAGGCCAGTGTGTCCTTGTCAAGGGGGAATAATGACGTGATGGATTTTGAATCAAGATAAATGTAAATGTTTGCATACTAAACATTGGTTAACTGAAGCCCACGAACATGGTAAGTTATGCAAAACCATTATATTTTATGAAGTGAAAATGCCACCTTCTTTCTTGCATGTGCGGCAAAGAAATCGGCTTGTGACTTTTTTTTTTATCATGTAACGTCATTATCTACCTTTAGTTAGGTAAAGGTTGGTTAGCAAATCTCTACATGCGATTTCACTGTTAGCTTCAATTTCTCCTCGGAGTGGGCGTACCAGTTAAAGAAGTCGTTGATGTAGACTGTAACCATCAAGCCCAGTTCAATGATCCAACTCTGATATTGGAACTTTTATTTCTCCGAATTCAGTTTTTTGCGACTTGAGGGAGTCTTCACGTGAAGTATACCTGTTGGACTAATTTTTCCGATTTTTCAGACGTCACGTGAATGCAATGTCAATAATCCATCATACTTATAGCAATTGATTTGATATTTGATATTTATAATCTGTGTCTGCTATCTAACCAGAAACTGGTGTTGTCTGAAAGGCTGAATGTAGTAAAGAGTAGCTACAATATCAGTGGAGCAGAGACAGAAAATTGAAGTACCTCAGTACTGTAACTAAGCACAGTAAAGAGTCATTGAAAAGCTCGCTACCAATTGATATCTTGAGCAGAAGTGCATCACGTTTTCCCACCACTTTAGTAACTCAATGTTAACACCCAAGTTTTTTCTACATTGCAATACAACTAACTATGAAGACTGTTTAAAAGACCACACAAAGCAAATCATCTTAACTTCATTGCTTTAGTTGTTTCTTAGTCTTGTGGAAAATCTTACATACAGCAGAAGAAAACTGTGAATGTACATGTTAAACATATGAGGTTAAGTGTCTCCAAAGAAATGTTGGCTATTTCTGGTTTAAACACTGTGAGCTACACCAGCTACACTTAAGAACCATGTTTAGTGTTTACACAGATTGGCCCAGTGAGGGAGCGCACAGCTCTCAGGCATGTGTACTAATCTCAGGAAGGGGATGTGTATGTTTTCTTCCAACAGTGCTCTATATTCAGCCAGGCCATTGTTAAAATTCGCTGGGAAAGGGAGCTGACCAGACCTTGAAAGAGCAGGGGAAACATGAAAAGAGACTGTTTACTGTGACGTTTAAAGATAGGATGGCTGCTGTAAACCTTTCATCTCATCTGCGGATTTAAGAGTGCAGTTTCCTATGACTGGGTGGACCTACATTTGTTTCATCTTGTACAGTAGGCGGCTGCCGGCACTGCAATGAGCTTTACTGAGAAGGTCATTGATTCCATTTTCTTCATGAACAGTGTTTTTTTTTAACTGACTAGAATTAGCTTGACAGTGTAGCTGAGAGTTGATTTAGCACTTGGCATCTTCACTTAGTATCTACGAACTGTAAATGAATGTTTTCCTCCTTATTCCAGTCACGGAAGGCTTGGATAGAGGAAACCTTCTTCAAGAGAGAGTGTGTGAAGTTTATTCCTTCCTCTCGGGACATACACAGGTAAACGGAAATCATTGATGAGCTTCCAAAAACCCTGTAAAATACTATTTTTTCATTAGTCTCAAAAGGAATACAGGACAGTATATAGTTTAATATGAGCAGCAGTGGTTGGAAACATCCTTTTTCTTTTCTGAAAACAGAACTATTTGGCTCTCAGCCCTTCCTTCCAGGAATAGAGACCATGTGGATTCTTTGGTAATGTGTAATTTCCTGTTTCTTACAGATGTATTCCAGTATGTCAAGTATGCCAAAGCTTGATCAGGTATAATTTCTTAATTATGTATTTCTGTGTGTCTCTACATCTGAAACTACTTTCTTTATCTACACTCCAACCCCAATTCATAAGAAGTGCTGATTTTATCTTTTGGATTTCCCCTCCCCCTTATTTGATCATTTCCTCCTGTTGCTTTCTGTTTAGTTCCCTCTTGTGTTGGTCATTTTAATGTTTTTGAATGCTGTAAAAGTGTACTGATTGTTTTAGATCTCACAAGATGGATTAAGAAAAGCAATATTTCCAACATCTTTTAGTGTGTTGCAATACTATATAAAAAAAATCAGAGGTATTGACAGTGAAAGAGATGTCCAAGTTAATGAGACGGGTGTGAATTTAGCGGGCTGTAAACTTTAAACACAATCTAATACAGAGACGTCAAAGGGTGAAGTGGAAGGGAGGGAGACAGGAAAGCAGGAGGGATTGAAGCACTTACCTTGACCTAAATGTGCATGGTGGAGGCATGTCAGGTGTAAATTATACCACACAGTACTTCTTTGATATCAGGTGTGAAGCTATTATTATTATTATTTCTTAATATATAATGCAAGTTGTGTAGTTGACTTATCGGCAGAGATGTGAGAGTAGCATCGTCATGAAAATGCATCACAAAGTCCTACAAAATAAATACGCATGAAAATAGACAGAATGAAGTTAGAAACCCATAATGATAAAAAAACAAAAACAATATAATGGCAATGATGAAAGTAGGATAAAAAAATGAAGATAGAATACATGCCATAAGATGAAACTTCAAACCTTCTTCTGTAAACAAATCATTTGTTTAAGATGAAAGATAAAATACATGGAATGCACAACATTAGGAAAATTAAACCAGTCGGATGGATTAAAAATGATGTAATTTAAAATGCACACATATACGTTTAAGACAGTATTTTCAAAGGAGAGCATTTGTGCATAACAACAAACAATGTTTCCATAGCCTGAAAACAGAAAAGGCATATTGAGATAAAGGCTCAAGTGAAGAGGTAAGTTTTGAGCTCCTTTAAGAGTCATTAAACCAGCTTGCTCTCATGCTATCTACAGGTAGATTGCTTAAGAGCGTAGCGTTATGACGCTGTTTCTGGGAATTTCCCCAAAAACTAAAAGCGGATGACTGCAAAGTTCTTTAACAAATACATAATGTGGTCGTGGATGATGTGTCTATGTAGATACAGAAATCATTACCTGCTTTGTTCTCTGACAAAATCTTTCCATTGGCCAGATGTTGTTGTGGCCGCCTGATAGGGGAGCACTCATGGGGAGAGACCCTTTGTCCCATATCCCTCCTCCCTGTTCCTGGACAGGACTTGGAAGAAGAGTGGTCCATAGAGCTCCACACCAAAGCGAGTCCCACAAACGCCTATGGGACTGTAGACTTTCAGGACACTGCCACACGCGTCTGCCGAGCCAAGGTCTGCGAGTCTACAAACTGTTCTGTATATATGTTTCTAGGTCAAATGAAAACTCTTTACCAAATAACCATACTAATCAAAAAATAGAGGCAAATGTTTAGAGGGTGGATGTGGTGAACAAGACCGGGATTTACCTCGTGAATGTTGCATACGCCAGCTTTGGTTTTGCCTTGATGGAAGATATCTTCTTGACATATCTTCTTAAAACTTTAGTCACTTCACAGCCATACGAGTAGTATTTTAGTTTTCCATGATTTCTCTCCAGTATGCCCGTGTGGCTGTGGATTCAAAGCCAGAGATGCTGCTCCAACTGATGCTGAAGGAGTGGCAGATGGAGAGACCCAAACTACTACTGATCGTCAAGGGAGGCTCAGAAAACTTCAGCCTGCCCCCGAAAGTAAAGCAGGCCTTCAGCAAAGGTCTGATGACTGCTGCTCTGAGCACAGGGGCATGGATACTCACTGATGGCATTAATACCGGTAGGTGTCCAAAAAGCTAGAAGCCTGATCTAGTGTTTGATATTTATCCAGGTAAATGGCACGATGAGACGCAGTGAAGTCCGTGTTGGTCTTCATGTGAAACAGCTAAAGAACCCCATGTTTTGACATGCCTCTTTGATTTTTACTGATGTTATCATTTACATTTTTGAAGTGGATGTATATGCTCCCTCTTTCTGTTCTAAAAGTACTTTCTGGTCATTGTCTTGGTCTGTGTGACATTAACATGCTCATTTAATCTAAAGGGTGAAGGAATGTGCAATGTTCACTTGTTTGCAGATTTAAGTTGCTACTCAGCTATATTGTGCTTGATGCCTGTCTTGAGTCTATGCATTTTAAATTTGCTCTTCTTCAAATACTCTCTAGGTGTGTCAAAGTATGTGGGCGAGGCAGTGCAAGCATTTGGAGGTCACGACCTAAGGAAGAGAAACACAATTGGCATCACACCATGGGGAGTCATTGAGAACAACACAGACCTTATCGGCAGAGATGTGAGAATACCATCAGTGTACCATGTCTAAGCATGCTTCACCCCTTAAGTCCAGTTTGTTTGACTTGTGTGAGTGCTCCGATCCGTGCTAAAGCATGGTACACTCCCGTGGCCCTGGCATGCTTGGAAGAGGTGTGCTGCGGCACGATACAG